ACCAACCAAAGCAAACCCTCTGGTGGAGATCCAGTTTTCCAAGTCATCTTTACAAGTACTCTGATTCAAAATATTGTCCTTGGTTAATGCATTTTTTCCATTAACAGGGGTAGGAGTTTGGAAAGGTTTACCAAACAGTACTTATTACAAATAAAAACATGAAGAAGGGAGGGAAGGTGTTTTTGTGTTTATAACTCTGGTTATTAGTTGTGAATTGACCAAAAGGACTTTACTGCCAGTATCTGTTTTCAGCAATGAAGGAAATCCCTGCTCAGGCAGGTGGAGGCAGGGTAAGCGAGCCAGGTGTTCTCCTCCCCACCCCACCATGCTCAGTGCTTCCTGAAGCACTGAGATTTGCCCAACAGTGGGAGAGCAATGCCTGGAATTACCCATAGCAGAAGCTGCATTCTCGGAGTGTCGGCAGGCTCACAAGATAGCGGGCATCACTGCAAAAGGCAACGTTGTCCTTTGATGTGAAGCTTGCAACCAACCAGACAGCATGAGCTATCTGCTTTTTATACAATTAATTATTGATGTCTACCTGGGCAGGTGTGGCCAGCACCGCCCAACTAGAGGCCTTCAGTCCCACCCCCCGTTATGCAAGTGGCATCTCTTCTGCGCATGAGTGGGTACCTTGGAATTCCCCCCGCGCTTGCGCACTAAACCTCAGGGGTCTTTTCTAAATGAGTCTGGGGGCTTACTTCATCCTCCTCCTCTTCACTTTCTCCTTCAAATGCCCTTGGAAGGCAGTCAGCCAGCCAATAATAAGACACCAATTAATTAGAGTTTGTACCAAACTCTTCCTTTAAGGATGAAGTTCTCGTTTATCAGTGCTTGTTTTCTCATAAGTTGGCAGGAAAAAGATAAACTCTCACAGGTGGCTGGGCCAAACACAGACCAAAAGTATCAACATCTAATTAAGCCCTGATACATACATCATGAATCAGCTCCTTTCACTTCTTCATTTTAAATTATATTAGGATGAGACACTGAATGCAATGAGGTGATGCACATCTATTGGGAGTACCATAACCAGGGGCATTTGGCAGTTTAAGGCAGACCAAAACTACTGCTGCTTTGGGGGAGCATTTGATGATATCAGCTTTCAACAGTGGAGTGATTTCAGGACTTAGAAAGTCAAAAAGTGGAATAATAAAATATCAGGATAACAAGTAGTAGTAACAAAAAGAGCAGGATGACAGAAGTCATTGCTTTCCTAATACTGGGCTGAACTCAGCATAAGTCACTGCAGCAAGAGCTCTTCAGCAAGAAAAATCAGAGCACAGTCACACGATTTTATATGATGTCCTTCTCAGCTTTGCAGCAATGGCTGCAGCTGTAAAGACCTTACAAAACTGATTACTGAAGGTACTAAAATGTATTAACAAATGAGCACCAGAAGACTTTTTTTACTGCTTTCTACTGATGTTTCCTCTAATTGCAGGATACATTTCTAAGTTTTTAAACCATTCTCATACTTGCTAATGGTGTGGGTTTGAACCTCCAAGGCCAATTTGGACAGTGATCACATTGCAGTGTTTAATTCTGCTTTATGATTGTTTGAACAAAGCCACAAAAATGCAGCTACCAGGCAAGAGAGGTGCAAACAAGTTATGCAAGGTTTCACAGGTGACTCGGCAGGTCCAGCCAGGTACCTCCCCGCAAACTGGCAGTTCTTTCCATATTGGTGGTATTCCCCTTTCCAAAACCCCTTCCCTCAACACGGGTCAGGCTGGTTCTTCCACATTTCAGCTAAATCCAGTCTTCTCTTCTGCAGTTGACCAGCTGGATCAGGAAACATCCCTTGCCCCTGCTCTAAGATGGCAAATCCCAGAGGAGCACAGAGCAAACATTCCTGCTAAGTGGTCTGCTATGGGAGGATACATTTATCCTAAAGATATTTTCCAAGTGATAGTGTATGACATTATTGCTTCATATCATCAGTCAGTCACGTGGAAGGTTTCCTGGTCAGAACTCACATAACGGTGGTCACCTACTTTCCTGTGTATCCATCGTCTTGTGCTTCAAGGAAAACTCTGACATTTAAGGATGTGGTAGACTGCCATCACCAAAGGTTTTCAAATCCCATTGGACAGATCAATTATTGCTACATAATGTCACTCAAGATCCCTTTCCCACAAAAGGTTGGACCAGATGATTTGTCAAAGTCCCTTTCAACCTGGGTGGTTCTGTGATTCTACGATTTAGTTAGTGGTTGTAGTGGCAAGACAGTAAAATTGACCCATCTTCTCCTGGGGGATGAATATTGTAGAAAAGCTACTGAATATTTCTGGTGGAATTTCTTTACTTGGAATCAAGTTTTACAGACATAGGAGTACCCAGGTACAAGCTGCAATTTGCTCAGCAGCTTTGTTTCTACATTTATGTATTTCATCTTCCTTTATTGGCATTAATATTTACTGAAGATGGCTGCAGGCTTGGGAACACTGCAGGGATCTACATAGTCTGAGTGAATTCATGTACCTTCTCTGATTTATGCATTAAAACAGGCTCATAATTGTGAGAGCTGCACCCCATCCCCCAACAGAAGCACTATTTAAATTGAAAATTATTATCCAGTTACAGCAATAGCCAGAAGCGGAGACTGTAATGTACCTACAAAGCTTTAAGTGAATAAATTTTCTGTAAAAAACAGGTTAATTCCTGCTTGAAGAACAGCTACTTAAGGTCAATTTGAAATGTTAGATAATGAAATGTAAAAAAAAGGCTGAGTGGGGACCAAAGTACTGCTGGTACTTCTGGTAATCCTACTTACAAATCTGAGATGCCCAACCCTAACAGATTTTCATATGAATAGTGCCAGAGTTGGTGCTGTAGTTCATAATGTTTCAGCCCTTTATTGTCAGAAAAAGTCAGTCTGTTGAACATCAGCTAGTGATGTTCTCACCAAGAGAAGTGATATATCCCCTTTGCTTTTGTTGTCCCAGAGAACTATGGTTTATATCTGCAATGATGGACCACTCAACAGCAGCATGCACAGACCCAAGACCACCTATAGCTGTAACAAAAAACCAGAAATAAAAAAAATAAGTGCATACACTAGTGACTCTGACACCAGTATACTTCAACAGCCAGAATCAAGGCACCAAGCCTGAGCGAGACCTGCCTAAAGATTTCTTGTATTCAGTTATGCCAAAATTTTACTTGAACATCTATCACATCCACAAATCAAGGCAAGCATGAGTACCTATAATTCACAATTGTAACCTTCTCAATTAAAAAAGTTTTGAGTGTACACTCTTGGTGCTGTGAAAATATTGGTGTCACTTCAATATGAATGGAAAATCAATGACAGAGGAATATACTATGGGTACTGATGGTTCTGAAGCAAAAGAATTATTTAAGCGCTTAAAGAATGGAATTAAATTTGCTAACTGCAGTAACTTACTTTGTAATTCCAAATCTACCAATTTCTCTGGTTTTCTTCTAACTCTTCCTCTTTTTATCCCTTTCCTTTTTACTTCCTGCATTATCTGTCTCTCCAAGTAGCATATGGACAGGTGGCATCTCTGTCTGCTCTCTTCTGAACCCAGGAACTGCTCTTAGTGACACACATCAATTTAGAGGCAGTTTGTCACATTCTGTAACTTCTTCCCTGTATCCCATACTCTCCTCTCCACCTCCTCTTGAAGCTATCAGTCAGCTACTAAACAGTTAAATGTAACCTTATTTCCATAAGCTATGGTCCACTCAATATTATATACCCAGAGTTAACTGTCAGAATAACTGTCCTTTCCAGAGTTCAAGAGTGCTCAGGTCTTTCTGTATACTGGAAACATATGAGAGAGAGTTTCAAAAGCAACTCAAGTGTCATCACTAAGACATGAGAAATAAAAAAATCCAAAATAATGGCCTTTGAAGATCCTAACTACAGGAGTTCATTCAGATCCCATTCATTCATATGATTATAGATCAAAGGATTTCATGCTGCGATGAATTAGAAATCACAGATGTCTTCTCACTATAGCAACCTGGTTTTCAAATGAGACTCGTATTAAATAGTCCACTTCACTGTCTGAAAATATACTTCACTTCAGGAAACATAAGAATCTAAAAATAAGGCATTTAATTGAAAAAAAAGTATCTCACAAAAATTGTATCTCTCTCAATTCCAGAAACCACAACAGTATTAATAAAATCTTAAAAGACAACTAATACAGCTTTTATTTAGAAGCAGCATAAATCCAAACAGTGCAGAAAATTCCCAAGGGTTTACTGTTACAGTTTAAGTGCATATATTCCTTCTATAATTTTGTGCCTTTTCACAGGAACAGACAAAGAGCAGCTACAGAATTTGTTCTTTTCAGAAAGCCTTTACTACTTCGAAATCTCATCTTTATAAGTGGGTAATATAGTGAACTAATTCCAGTGATGAATTCCAGATTTATATAGACTTGATTTCTAAACTCAAGGTGTTAAAAATTTTTTAATATTCCCACCAAAGGTGACATAATAAACAATTCAACTGAACTAAGACAGGTAATATACACAAGACATTTGTAAAAAAAACCCAGATGTTCAATACAAAATACTCACCTATGTCTAAAAATAAAAAGCTTTTTATAAGTTAACAGTATGGGCCCCAGTTTCTGAATGTCAACAGTGAGAGGTTATTATGAAGGTATCGCTAAAGTTTAAATACCATCTGTACTGGCTGAATTACTTCTACCTCTTTTATAGATGAATGATGGAAGACACAATCACCTAACATAGGAGCTTGAGCATCAAAAATTAAATTTCCATTTTTAAATGGTTTATAAGTGTGACTTCCACCATTTACTACAAGGATAAGCTCTGTAGCTTCTTTGGCTGAGGCCATCATCTCTGGATAGAAGCCCCAAACAAAATGGGAAACATTTCCACTGCTGAGAAATAACCAAGGAGTATAGTTTGGTCAGAATGGTAACTGTTATGGAGCAATTCTGTGCTCATAGAAAAAACGTTCTATTTTTAAAGAGATGAATGTGAATTCACAACTGTTATCTTTAATTTTACATTATTTAATAACTACCACAGTATTGACGATCTTCATAAATATCATTAGTTTTGAAATAAAGATGCCAAAAAAGCACAGAAAAATTTATTATTCTTACTGGAACAGCTAGTCAGTTTCTATTTTAAATTTGGATTGTTGCTTGACATTATGGAGCAGCATCACTTTTATGAATCCTATTCTCAGGAAAGTGGAGATATTATCAGGATACCGAATAGACAACAAGGCTTAACTCTCTCTTCCCTGTCCAAATACTTCCAGAAGATCTTACGTACTGTAAACTATGGGAAATAGCAGAACTCGCCCACTTCAACCATGTTGCCATTGCCTATATAAAGCTGCAGTGTACTTTGTGTCTGGTTTGGACAATAGCCACAATGCTCCATCACACCAACTGATACGGATTATATTTCTATTTCCAGCTTCTTGCCTTTCCAGATGCTGAAGACTGGAGAGAACACAGATGCCAACACTTCAGCTCCATGAAGATAAATGAAGCAAATGCTTCAATTCACTTGGCAATGACCTACATCCATCTGAAGAGCAGCAAGAGCATATTGACAAAGTGCCTTCCAAGTCCTGAGAGATGCTGATTGCCACGTGAGGCTTACAGCCTTAGTAAGTTGGCTCTCTGAAAGTTCCAGATCCCTCTCTTCAACAGAGTTCAAGTAGAATCCCTTCGAGTCTTTGAGTAAGACTGAACATACATCAATCACATGCAGAAAACCTTAGACCATTTCAACCCCTTGGCCAGAAAAACCATGCCATGCCTGGAAGCACCAAAGCAATGATTACAGAAGAAAAAAGATTTACTGCGTTGTTGTCTAATATAGGTTTTCCAGATATGTGCTTGGAGTGTTTTGTTTGGTGGTTAACAACCATTCCAATGTTCTGGTCAAAACCTGGGAAAAGATAAAGACTTCATTTTACAATGCCAACCAAGCTAAAAAGACACTTAGTAACCAAGTGTATGCAGCTTCCTAAATTTATTTTACCATTATGGTGTTAAACCTCTGTAAGAAGACATCATCAGACTAAACTAAATTACAGTCGGTTTAATTTGGTACCTTCAAAGAATGGGGTATAAATGCAATACTTTATGTTAGAAATTACTTCTTTTGAGAAGTTAGTTACACTTCTGTCAAATCTACTTCCCTCTTTATGTAATTTCACAGCAAAGAAATGAGTGAAACAAGCTAAATCAGAAGAAGAAAAAGCTGTTCCAAGAGTCATACTAAAGCAAAGGATGCTGTTTTGAACAGAAACAACTGATTAGCAACATGTATTTCCTGTCAAGATGTATTTGTTTTCAAAGGAAAATTACAGAAACAACATTATTACTTGATCTGACAGAAAGCAAGCTCCTTCCAAAGGTTGAATTTATAAATTTTATTTACAGAGCAGTTTTATACTACCAGCAGCTGGGTTTTTTTCCCTAGTACGTAGGTAATTTCTTGCTCTGCCTCTATATTATCAATACTCTAGTGTTGAGCTTCATTAGCTACTACTGTACACACATCACTACCCTGTATTTTGTCCAGCTGTACTACTCTATATGCTGATACAAAGATAACATTCTAGAATGCTTGATTTTAATACCAACTCACACTGTAATGAAGTATACCTGGGTACATCTACATGCATACATTTAAGGTTCATATGAAGGAACCAAATCAGTATATTTTATATTAACTTTTTTTTTTTCTTCTTAGATTTGAATATCTGCCAACACCCACAACCTGGAAATTTCAAAATAAAGCTGCTGCTTTATTAAAAAAAAAAATAAATTTGGCATCTCAGACCAAACTTAAAAAACCCCACACCACAAACCTCCTTGGCAGGTATATAGCTGGTGTTACTGTTACCTTTGAATCATACAGTTAAATCTCGCTTTAGATAACACAAAAAAGCTACAGAAAAATCAAACTTCAAAGACTAACAGTTTAACCCTTAACACTTGCTATATTTTAGAAAGTAGTAAGTTTCCTTGGGAAAAAGAGGGAATAAATTTTTCTAAATATATCCCTCAAATGTACATAAAGTGTAGGTTCAGAGCTTAAACAAGTAGGTAAAGTAACAGCAAGTCCTTCCATTAGCTTTGTTACTTACAGAATAGGTACAGCTTGAGACTGATAACATGGGCAAATTTTAATCTAATTCTGTACAGCTATTCAAAGCTTTAATTAACAAAGGTGTGGGCGGGGATGGACCTTCTTTTAGAAACAGTAGGTACCACAGGCTATTAGATACACCAAATCTAGGAATACTACCAAAAGGAAAAACGCTGAGAGAACTAAATAGCAGTACAAGTTAATGTTTTCAAAAAAGACACAATTCTTTATCACCACTGTCATATCTATTGTTTCTCAAGATGCTGCAGAGACTAGAGTATTCCTTATGAGTCCACATTGAAAAGAGACTGGAAAAGTAGGTTAAAGTGAGGAGGCACACAAAACCAAACAGCATGCATGACATGAGCAGCACAATTTCATCTATGTCACAGCATTTATGTGCATAATATAGCATACATACTCCAGCAGTCCTTATGAACTTGTAAAAGAAACTATGGAACTTGTATACTGTCCCTGCTGGAGCTAGCAAAGGAAGTTGCTGAGCATGAAAAAAATACATGAAATGAAGAAGAAACAGATGCTGATAAACGCAAACATGTATTAGCTAGGTTTACCCCATCCTCTTAATGCATCTGCCTCATTAGGAGCCTGAAACATTGTCTGACTGCTTAAGTGTTTTCTCTTTAGTAGAGAAATATCTAAAAATTCAGCAAATGATTGAACACTCCACTTTGGTCTTTCCTGGAATTACAAGGAATAGAGCATAAAAAATGCTGGAAAGCCAAATACAGAGCATCAACAAGGGTCTGTACTTCTCACTGCAATGGTAGATCTAAGGGCCTTGTGTATCTCAGGCAGTTCATCTGCACATTCACACCTTGACTTCCAACTAATAAGTATCCAACAACAGAACCTGGAAACTTAAGTTCTCTCTGTAAGCAAGCTGTTAAACACAACAGTGTCAGATATGGTTTTTAAATGATTTTTAAATGTAGGGTAAATTTACAGCTTAGCCTAAAGGTTGTCTGTAGTGTTTATTGACAGGCAATGATCCTTCAGGGCAATGAGTAAACACTGAAATAATTTAGAATCAGCCAGCCAACAATTTTTTTAAAAAAAGACATGCTTTTTTTTATTTACAGTCACAGCTAGTTTATGATAAGCTTAACTTATAGGAAACAGTAGTCTGTGAAGCAGAGAAAAAACTAAGAACATAAAACATTGTTCACATTTTCCTGGAGTTTTTCCTATTTAATTCTTAAAACTGAGACTATTGCTAAGACTTCAGAGTTAGGAATGGAGCTTCTGCAGTGACAACTTAATCCAAGCAAATGGATAAAATTAAACTGACATTTTCTCTTGTAAAATGCTACAATAATTAGACAATAGAAAAGGAGAGGGCAGCAATGACTTCTTCCAAGGTAACATGTTGGAGATCTCTGGTCTCTTTCACTAATCAGAAAGACATTAAGCTACAGTAAACAAATCAAAATTTGGAAAAGGAGCCACTGCCCTTGCTGGTTGTCATTATCATGTCCATTACTTTTACTCCCTTTGTCCTTTGTGCTGCTACTTCTGTATTTTTTCCATTTAAAAATCATGCCCTCAACCCTTCTTGAAATTCAAGTCCAATTTTAGGTTACACTAGGAAAGGGGGGGAGGAAAAAGGAAGAAAAGAAGAATCTTACCACTGTATTGCATCGTAGCTCCCAAATATGAATCAACAATTGATCCCAGTAGGCCAGCTGCTGCACCAAACACAATAATGGGCCATTGTGGAGCAGATATTTCCAGATCAGTCACAAAAATGAGTTGTGTTATGAAGTAGGCTATACCTACTGACATGCCCCCAAGCAAACTTGAGAGCAGGCCTACTAATGTAACTGCTCCATTAGTACCTAAATCAAACAAAACAAAGCTGATTTAAAACCTTTTTTTAAAGACTTATATTTATTCAAATGTTTTACATAACATCAAAACTGTTTGAACTGACCTTCTCCCCTTCTATCCACAAGACTCTGCTACTGCAGCTTTTATTTACAATTCTCAGTGTGTTGTTGAGAAGATTAACCTGAACCATTATGGTCTATTACTACTCTTTTCCTGTCTCTAGGGCTAGTTATCTAGAAATATTCACTAGCATTAAATTAAATAAAACCAAACAGCACACCTTTCACTGTCACCTGGTACTTGTCTGTTGTAGGTCATGGTGGGGGCGGGATAATAAAAAGAGATTTGCTCCAAAAACCAGACCTCAAGATGTGCATGTTATTAAAGCAATACCTCCCTAAGAAGTAGTATTTTGCCAACACATTTAAAGAAAAGAAGAAGATCCATAGGAAGATATTTGACAGCTCATTGAATAAAAATCTGAAGAATGCATGTAAAGGTAAAAAAATACTTCCCCTGCATTGAAATCCTATCCAACAAGATCTGAAACTGATCCATATGCCAGCAAGGCTCAAGATTAGACCCATTGCTTTAAGGCAGCAATGACATTCACTGTGGAGACAAGGTTTGACAGACAAAAAGTTCACTTGCACACCCTTGGTAAGATATTAAAGGAAATGAGTGATTTGGTTAAGAAGTGAATTTTCTGCATTGTCTGTGTTGAATATATGTATTCTACTCATTAATATATGAATGCCTGAAAAAAATGAGTTGGTAACTTGTACTCTTTATATTATTAGCAACATAAACACTTTTAATAGAGATGAGAAATGACAGTATTCAGAATGATTTTAGCTCCGTGGATCCTGTGTTGGTGCATCCCAACCAATCCCAGATTTCTGATGTTTTTCTCAGTCTTTCTTGGAACTATTCAAATTGGATGCATAATTCAAAACAGATTAACAAAATATTCAGAACATGTAGAATAGGTAACACCTTACCTACTGGAACCTGTTCCCAGGTTGTTATCAATCTTGGTTTACTTTTACTCATAACACTACCAATCTCTGAAGCCCATGTATCACCAGCAGAGCATGCCAAAGCTCCCAAAAGGGATAAGCACATCCATGATGCTGTGTATTCCTTTGAAAAGTCAATAGGAATTTCACCTGGCCCATTTTCTATCATATATAAGAGAGCCAGCTCAGTAGGAACACCACCATTACAGAATACTTGAACCCAATTCCTCTGTCCACCTGAAGTAATAAAAAATAAATTTCAGTAATTTCAGGCAACAGTAACTGACAAGCAACAGCACGAGACAAAAGCAAAACACACATATATAAAGTTAAATTTAAAAAGACACATGTTCCAAACAGAAAATATATGGCAATTTATTAAACAGAACAGAAGCAAAAGCCAAGTCACTTGCTAATGTTACAGGGATAAGGGTAGAGGGGAGTCACAACAACAGTGTTCCCTACTGTGGATGTTACATCTCGTCTGACCCTTTGAAAGGAATATGCAGTATTTATTCTCCACAAGGGATCCAAAAGCACGAAAGTATTTTGGCTTACCTTCTTTGTATTCTGAATCTATTTGCTTCTTTCTATCTTTTTTCCATTTAGTAAGTTTTGAAGAAGTAACAAAAAATACAAACAAGGAAGAGAAGAAACTGTAATTTGCAACTGTAAGGATAAATCCAACCACCAATCCTACGAAGAAAAAAGAAGTATATCAAGTTTCTCCATGTAACAATACTTGCTTTGCAAAGCAGTTTTTTTATTTTTTTAAATATGAAGAGTATATTCATGATACCTAAGACAATCATGCAGTAACAGATTCTACTGCTAAATTGATAATTTAATTGCTACTGCTTGTGTGATTTTTAAGACCTCCTTTTGCCACAAATCAGTAATACTGTGCAAAAATAAAAGACATCGCAATAAAAAAACACAAAGCAAAATCCAGAGGATATGTAAATGAAATTTAAGTACTCTGCCTGAAGAATATTCTTACTTGTATAAGGAGCAGATATAGAGCTGTGACTGTGACTTTATCAGCAAGTTTATCATCAGTTTAGGTATCAAATCCCATGTCCAAGGTCTCTAAGATAACCACTATAACCTTCCTCCATATCTTAGCAGATGCTACTTCTCCCTTCTGTTCTTTTCTTTTTCCGTTTCTGATTTTCATGCCATCTTTTAATTTCTGTAATTTTTTTAAGTATTTGAGCTTCTGGAGGTGATTAATTTTTATGTCCCCCTTTACAAAGGAAGTCTCATTTCACTCCCCATCATGAGATTACAATTCTAAATGACTGAAAGAAAATTGTCTGCACTTAGGGCAGATGCCAGTATAAACCGCCTAGCAGAGCCGTTACATTAAGAGGTAAAAACAAAGAAGAGAAAAAGAGTTTTTTTAATTTAGAAAATGTCACAAGACCAGGGTGAATCACCTCACCCAGATATCTTGCATCAAATTTCAATAAACACTATTGTACACCGTGCTGCAGTTTTTATCACGCGGTCAAGAAAACTTTATTGAAATGGTCATTTGTTTGAACTAAAGTACAAATTTAATTTTCTTATTTTTGGCAGGCCAAAAAATGCCTGGAACTGCTTCTATTACAGTAAGGAGAATCATGTTCTCTTAACTGGTTCCTCCCCTAGGCAGGTAGGGTGCTGACATGGATCAGTTTTAGGGTATTTCTTGAGCACCACCTCTGCCATTTCTTTAATTCTCTGTGAATCCATCTATATGTTAAACCAAAACGTGATTTAACTGCATACTGTACTGAAGTTTAAAAGAATTCTCTAGGTTTACATAAATCTAATAACAATATTAATCAGATTACAAACAGCATCACAAAATTAACTTCCCTGTTTAAACAGGCCTGAGAGAAAAAATCAGTATGAATTTAAGGTATATACGCTTATATTTATACTTTTATTATAATAGAACTAAGTAGTAAAGTCTTAAAAATTACAAACAACAAAAAGAACATTAACTTCGTTTACTAAATGTTTAGCTTAATAGTCTCAGAAAAAAACATACCTCCCAATGCACCACTGTGATCAAGACTCTTCTTCTTAAAACCCTGTGCAGCAATAATTAGTGGAACCAAGACTGAAAAAAGCCAGCGCCATGGAGAAATGGGTCGTAAAGTACCTGATAAATCAAATAACAGGGTTACAGATGATCCTTATAAGCCTTTCCAATGCCTTCATATCTGAAAAATTATTATCTTCTAGTATATACTTAAAGTCTGATCTTAATAGAGATTAAAACTTTTTACCTTCTAGAAGAAAGGCAGTAATTTATTGAGTCTTTTCTGTTTAAAATAACATACCTTTTATTGGATAATAATAAATCCTTTATTAACATCTTTTATTTTGGTGAGTGTTCTAGAATTTCAGAAGGAAATAAATACAGTTAAGACATTGATAATAAATTGTCTCCTTAGAAGACAGTTGCTGTGGATACTAGTGCTTTATGGAATGGTGTGGAATTACAAGAGCCAAGCAGGATATTATTTTCCTGTTCTGCAGATGCAATAAATTACTGCCTTAGCAGTAAGATCCTTAAAGCCTTTATATTTTAGCACCTCATTTTTACTTTAAATTGGAGGACACAAAGTTCATTGCAAAAGATGCCAAAAGTACATCTTGCAAAACACTGAAATTTAACAGTCCGAAAAGAAATTATTCCTTAATACTAAAGTTTAGAAGTCTTCCATCCTTGTTGTCTTAAGAGACAAGGAAGCTATTGATTATATCCTGAACTACACTATTTACTGTGATAGAATTTCAATACCAAAAAAAGCCAAGAAAGACAATCCATGAGGTGAAAGTGAAAGCAGTGTGACCACTTTATGATAAACATCGACACTATCAGTTCTTCTGAGCTTGATTTAAGGCTCTTAAAAATATCCTTTAAGCTGATGACTATAGCAAGATTTCAAGTTACAGTTTTTGTTTGAAAAACCCACAAATTTTAAAACATAAAGCCAATAGTTACTCTAGTTTTGAGCTAAATATGCTTACATATGCTATACAAATACAAGACATCACAGATCTTGCTTTGAAGTAAGTCTCAATCTTATAAAATAGAGATTTCACACAGGCACAACTTGGCTTGCTGGAGAGCTAAATATGATGGTTTTCAACAAGAACTTTTGTGTTAGCAGTACCCCAATCTTCTCACATACACAGGCTCCTTGGTGCAAAGCAGGATAAACGTCTGTGAAATCACAGGAAGACACTAATTGCAAGTGCAGATTCACAAGACAAAAACTTCTCTTCTGTGGACTGAAAAGCCCCAGTCCCATAGCAGGTGAGCAAGGGAGTCTTGCAGACAAGGGCTGACTCAAGAATTCAGAAGACAAGCAGTGGCTATGTATGAAGAGACCTCCAGTGCTGTAGTCTGGTATTGCTTATCACAGACCAAGGCAGCTCTTAGTGTAAACTTCAGTGTGAGCAGTACTGGAAATCAAAAGGTTTCTTCTTCCTTGGCTAACAAATAGAATTTTCATCTCTTCAAGGACATTTTTAAACTAACCTTTTTGTATTTCACTGAAGGGGAGAAAAGTATTGGTATTGAATTACTCCTAAATATAAGCAGTTAGGACTAAGATTGAACACATTCATTGGTTTATTATGGATTCTTTGGCTCTCCCACTTTACCAATATTTTGGTTACTGTTTGGTGCTTAAGCATTACTATAAATTATAAATTAATAAAAGTATGTCTGTAATATTTTTGTATTTATGTTAAAGACTGTGAATTTCATCACTTGTATGGGCTTAATCTACTAAGCCTACTAACTATTATACATTTCATTCACCTCCTCAAGCCAAGGTCTTTACACTGTCTCAGGCAAATGAACAATAGAAGTTGTATGTCCTTCTTTTTCCATTATCATTCCCTACAAACAGGAGGATTAGTCTGCAGTCCCCTCCTTTCTATCACTCCCTATATCTTGATTCACTTGATACCAGGTGTTCCACTCTTCACTGCCAATCACCTTATATAGCAGGGATTGGAATATCCTAATTATCAGAAAACCTCAGAGAGCTATACCTTTAGAGAGCGGACATACACAAATGAAGTTGCATGTTTAAATACAACTTGGTTAGCTCCAAATGACACAAACAAAGCCAGATTGTGAAGCCCACTTCTGCCTATCTTCTGCATGTGTGGCATCTCACTACAAGCCAAAGAAGTGTCCAGACAACATAGGTTTAATGCTATACCAGAACTAATATTCCATCCTAAAACACAAAGCACTGAAAAACACTGAGCAGAGACATCCAACTGCCATTGCAAAATCAACTTATACTGGTGGTATATTTACTCTAGCTTCTGGATTCAGTGTGACACTGGGCAGTCAAGGGTGTTCATTCCGCATCCCTAAGCACTCCCAGCAACACTGCAATGACACTGGAGCTCTTCCTGAATTAAACTGGTTGAGGTCTTAAGGACCTGCCCTGAAAAGCAGTTAAACTCTTCTAGACTTGAACTGATACTGAAGGTTGTACTGCTCCTTTCACACACTGCTTTAAGAATGGCCCTAGAGGCAAAATGACAGACCACAAAGAGCACTTGCATCCCTGCAGCTATACACAACTAAGCCTCAGCTGCCTCAACAGAACATTGAGCTGACAGTACACACCTATGGTAGCCACTCCATGCATACCTCCCCAACTTCTTATACTATTACCTCTGTTTCTGTTTTCCTTGACTAAGGAATTCTTCTTGCATGCCCTGTTCTGCATGTTGCTGCATGTGCATTCCTAGAACAGGCTGGCACACTCCTCCCGTGCTGTCACATACTTTTCCTCATCCAGAAAGACCTCTGTCAGCTCGCTCTTTATTTTCATTTTTTATTTGCTTTCTTTTAGGGAAAGAAATCACAAAGGATACCAACATCTTAAATTCTACAGGATCCGTGGGCAGAGCTGCAAGTAGGTGGCTGTCAGCACCTTCTAAACCACTATCACGTACTGTCAGCGGTGAGATTTTCAGTTCTACTGACAAAGAACGGGGCTGTGCACACCTCTCTTCCCATTTTTTACGTTAAGCCTGCAGGGGTTGGATGGGAGGGTTCGCCCCTGGTCATGCCATGCCTGCCTCTGCCCGGCCTTTGGACTCACCGTAGTACGTACTTGCAGTCATGGACACGATCCAGAACGCCAGCGAAATACAAATGAGCAAGTTCAGGATGACCATATTCGCCATCATCTTGAGGTACTCTCTGAAGAAATCCTCCTGGTAATAGGGCATGGGAAGCCAGGGGGAGAACACCTGACGGGAAAACAAAAGGCGCAGCACATCAGAGACACCATCTCCTCTTTCTGCCGACCGGCGAGAGCCGCGGCCGGGCCCGGCCCGCACCGCCCCCGCGGCGCTGCCAGGAGGCACCGAGGCGCTCATAGGGAGAGGCTCTCTGCGGCGCGCCCCCTACTCGGGCCCGGGGCCGGGCTGGGCGATGCTGCCGGAGGCGCTCGCACCGCCCGGCTACCGTCACTGACGCTGCCTCCCTGACCGTCAACGCCGCCACCATCCCGCCCCGCGCCCGCGCCCCGCGCATGCTCCGCCCGCCGCCACAGCCCCCAGCCCCAGCCCGGCCCCGCCGCCGCCGGCAGAGAGCGGGAGTCGCCCGGGCCCGGGGGCGCCACAGCTGCGCCCGGGCGGTGCCTGCGCTCTGCGCAGCCCTGTGGAGATTTCTCCCCTCTCCGGTATCGGGATGGGGTCTTCGCCAGGCGCTGCCCATATAGATCCAGTTTGCGAAATAAAACCAGCAATGACACTCATGAAAAGCATGAAATCTGTAGAAAATTGTCGATACTGAAACAAAGAATTGTAATTGGACTTAGCATAAGCAGGCCTTGTTTAGTGTGACCTAGCAAATTGGAACACTTAAACAAATAGGCAAAACTGCTAGCTACAAATAGGGAACTGCCCTTGCGCGAGAGACAGATAGTTAACTAACTATTGCTTCAAAAACACATAAACAGGCTTGGAGAAATAGATAGGTAACGAACCCTTGCTTTTAGGCACAAAGACAGGTGTTATCAAGAAAGCCAGAAAATGTGTCTAAGGCATAAGTAAAATAGAATGCTATTGTAACGTGGGCTTAACTGTTTAGTTTATCAGCTACTAACCATAGAAATGTAAGAGTGAATGGCATTTATGATAAAACTGCTATATAGACCCACCGAAATCGTGGAAAGGGAGAAGACATATTTGTGGGGTTAACTCTGTGTCTTTGGCAAACAAACCGTTTGTTGGTTGATTCCTTTGAGTCAGTACCAATGAGTGTCTGGATGAGGTTTGAAGCTCATTGGAACACTGCAAAGTTCATTAGCACCAGAAGAAAGAGACTTGAAATGTTTCCTAAAGTTGCCTTGGGATGAAAACATGGCAAATCTGCCTGAGGGCTTTTCTTGGGGCATACCAGACTTACTCTCAAAACACTCAAGTTGTAAATAAGTTGACAGTTGTTACAGGAAAGGCTCCCACTTGAACACATCAGAGGCTTTGTCAACAAAGCACAGAATGAAGTGAAACTCCACAGCTTTTCAAAACTCCATTGTTTTGAGGCAGCAGCCTCAAACAAAAAATAAATAAGAAATAAATGAAATAATCAAGACTTTGGGTATCACAGAAGATAATGTTGACGTAGCAGTTATGTATTCAGGATTTGTTCAGTGGAAGGTAGACCAAAACCTTCAAGTTTATAAACACTGGTACAGATGAGTCATCTCATGAACATCACCAACCTCAGGTGCTTTTTGTTTGTGGACTTGTGGGAGCAGCAGAATAGAATATTTATTTAAGTATTCATTGAGAGGCAGAGTAATAGGAAAAAGGGAAGTAAAAGATCTTTTATATACAACAGGAATAGTTTTTAAACTAGAAAATTCAAGTGAATATTCTTAGTTTAAGAGTTGATAATTTCCCTACTGAATTTAAGATTATTTTTGGCTTGTTGGCACCCATTTATCTTTGAGGCATGTTCTATTATTTTTCATTCAGCCTCTGGAGTAGGTTTCTAACAGGATTTGAACACAGTCCAGGTTGTGGATTCTTTTGCAACAGAAACTTCAGTATATGTTTGTGTGAAAAAAATAGTTATCACTCAGAGCTTCTTCAGATGTTACCTAAACTAAGGACCATATTCTGCAAAGATTTTCAGATACTTGATTTTAGCTGAAGACAGTAGGCCTATTCCAAAGGTAAAAGTTAACACTTGCGTGTTTACAATGTATTTTCTCCAGGCAATTAGAACCAAAACTTGGAAGAGGTGCTTTAGACAAGGCTTTATCTTATTTCTACTGTATTTATTGATAACAAAGACAGGTAACAACCAAATTTTATCCGAACTAGAGATCCCTAAAACATTAATACTAATGTAGTGGGACTAACTTTGGTATATCTAGTCTTCCTTCTCACCTCCCAAATTTTTATTAAACTTCCATCTGAGCTCTGAATTTGAGATCTATGAATCAGGGACTAAGTAGCTGGGCTACTTTGTAAGCAGCATAACACTGACATGACATTGCTTAGACACTCCTGCCAAAATCTAATTATCTGAAATTTTCAATCAGGCCAAGATCAACTCTATTGAGATTGATGGCTGAACAAGTAGCTGCTTGTTCAGGTGTAACCAACTCCCATAAACTTATTAATTCAAATACACCCTTACCTGCAATAAATTGTAAAGTAGCACTTGGCACTGATTTAGGAATATGCCAGACTATTGTACTGGTTTATCCAGAGACCTTGCATCTTGGTTTAAAGCCAAAGGTGCTGCTGCTGCTGCTGGAGTTTACTTAAGTGAGAAAAGGAAAAGGGAGTACTGCTCTCCACGCCTGGTGTGAGAAAGGTGGTTCTGGTCATGAAATCTTTAACATCCATGGCATGAATAATGTTGGCTTTGACTCCTTTCTCAGCTCTAAGTCTTTTGTTAAATGTGACTTCATACATTCCTCTTCCAGTGTTTTTAATTGCCAATAAATTTTCCTGCAGTAGCTCAGTACACATTAAATGTTACAAATATATTAGAAAACGAAAAAGGAAGGAACTCTAAGTTAGACTTCTTTCTGCATTTAGAAACTGAAAGAAGTAGCCACGGTTTTAAAAGTAATGTCTACAGCAGTTACTGCAGTTCGCCCATGTGTTTGAAGTCATCTTTTCTAGATGTTGTCCTTTTTTTTACTAGGTCCCGTATTATTATAATAAGAATAATATCACAACACTTTTAATAGGTAAAAGTTGGAGTTTTTTAAAAATTTAAATGGCAATCTAAATGCTTGCAATAATGTGCATTCAGAATTAATGTATTTAAAAAGCCATCCCAAATCAGTAAGAAGAGTATTATGTATATTTAATACATGCAATACGTACATTTCATAATCAATTTTTACTTATAAAAACCCCACATTCCTCATTCATACCTAATAATATTGATAAGCTTGAGAATTAAAAAAATGGCAAGTAAAAGTTGCTTGAGACAAATAGACCTGAAAGCTTTTCCTCACACTTTCCCCTACAAATACATACTTGGAATAATAAAAATCTGAGAAATTAAATAAGAAAAAGATTGTCAGAGCTATAAGCTGCTCAATATTTAGAAGAGTTTCTTCCTACCTTTTACCCAAATGTACAGGATGCAAAGCACGACCAGCGCAGTCTGGAAGGAGACAGGAATGTGAGATGATTAAAAGCAGCATGACAAAATGAAGATAATAACATGTTACTGCACAGATCATGCTAATCACTCTTTTATATGCATTCTTTTCCCAGGAATACATTAGAATTTAGTCGATTTGCCATAATACAGCATAACAATTCCAATTTTTCATGAAGATACAAAGATCTTAGAAGCAGACTTTCTGGGTTTTTTTTGTTTTGTTTTGGTTTTCTTTTTGTTTTGGTTTTTTGGTTGGTTGGTTTTTGTTTGTTTGTTTTGGGGTTTTGCTGTTGTTTTGATTTGGTTTTTTATCTCTGAGATGGTATTTTCCATTTCTCTTTACTGTTTAAAACATTATTCATATTTGTGCTTGATAGAATGCACTATGAATAATATAGATTGAAAGTGAAATACCAATTTAAACATCTATTCTCCATTGTTAAACTTGTCTTTTCAAGTGATTGAAGACAAAACACTGTGAAATACATGAAATTAAAAATCTGTAAATGTTGTTAACATTGTACTAAGTATAGCTGTTTGCAAGGGCCTTGAATAATATTCATGCTCATAGAAAAGAAAAATAGCAAGACTGTAAAATTTTATGCTTGTAGTATCATTAGATAGTTACAGAAAACAGAAGGGAAAAAGTAATACTGCAGATAAATATTTCCCTTAAGTAGAGCATCCATAATTAGTAGTCGCCTGTGAAAATACCAATGAAATTGCAAACAGTAATTTTCATTCCAGAGGAGTTGCTATACAGATGAATTCATAACATTTTTGAGGCAGTCAAAAATGTCTGTAATTAGCATTATACGGAAACTATTCATAGCAGGATTTGTGGACTATAAAGCAGCAAATGAAGAGTAAATATACAACTGTCTCACCGAAAAAGAACAGAACACGGAAAGAAGCTTTAAATATTATATTTATTAAATATGTGTGGACAGGCTTTAGCTTTGTGTCAAATCAGTTTATCAATGACACCAATTAAATTTATTCATAGTAGCCTAAAATGTTTTCAGACATTTTCAGAGTATCCAAAGTATTACTTTGCCTTACAAAATTGATTTGGTATTTCAGTGGGTATATCAATTTTATTTCAAGTTAAGCATTTTGTACAGTGTGTTGTCAACACTATTCTCATCCCAAATCCAAAACACAACACTGTACCAACTACTAAGAAGAAAATTAGTTCCATCCCACCTAAAACCAGGATAGTGTTTTACTTATTTCAGTTCATGTGATTAGATGAAATCAATTCTATACTCTTTTCTCGTTGAGATTCTGGGATACTTTCAGGGATATAAATCCATCCCTTCTGGTCTCACATTTTCTCAGTTGGAAATACTTTAGGATGGCATTATATATCCTGAGACTACCCAGGATAGTTTTCTGATGAAGCAAGATTGTCTTTTTTCTGGTCATTTACTACACATGACCTACATTTTTACTATTTGTTTACACTGTGTTTTTCTACGGCAGCAAGAAATTCAGGAAAGGACCAATATATTGAAAGCAGCAGGTGTTCAGGCTTCTCATATTTCTAGTATATTTTTACTTTACACAGGGAAGTTAAAGAGATTGATCTAGATTGTAAAAATAAGATAATTAAAAGAAAAAAGGTTCAGCAATGGGTAATTCAGTAATGGGGAAGAGTAAGTAAGGCAGGTAAAGATCTGAAAGGACTATGCACAAGGAATCACCATCTTCAGTCATAGGCTTGCCAAGATGGTAAAGA